TGATATGTACGCCATATCTTATATTTAAAAAAGTCCCTAAATAAAAGCCCCTATTTGGTTACCAGAATTGACCATAATTGTTGAATTGTCCCTAAATGTGGACCCGATGTAGGGACGAATCTGAGGACCAGAATATAGGGCAAATGATAGACAGTCAGAATCAGTAGATAATAATGACAAATTTACTTATATATGAAGAACTACAAATGTGTAGATTGTACTAAACGAAAAAACTTCATGGAAAGGTGTTTGACACATCATTACAATTAGAAAAAGAAAATGCAAAAGAATAGACGAAATACCTGATCAATTGTAACTAGTCATAGGCACTAGTGAAGGCATGTTCATACACACTGAGTTTTATCATAATTTATGTTTTTTAATCTTATCTATGCATCTCAGCACTAGTTTTAGCTAGAGAACAGAAACTTTGAAAAATTAAAGATCTTACTTAGATATATACAGGCTGGGCTAAAAGTAAGGAAATACAGTTTTTTTTTTTATTTCTTTTCTATACATGAATAATAAAATCTCTTATTTATACCATATATAGTAGGTAGCAGTAGTTAGAGGCAGCGCATATTATCAGTCTTCACACTCAACAGTCTTTTTGGTCTGCAGTCTATATGATAAAGATCTCAGCCTTCTATGTGAAGAAAAAGTATGAAAAATATCCCTGATAATTTATCCCAAGGGGGAAGTATACGTCGTACTTCCTGATATTTCTTCATACTTCTCCAAACCAGAGTTATATCCAGCATGAAAGTCGAGCGAGGGACGCCTCTCAAGAGATCCGCTTCGCCATGTAGAAATTTAGGATAATTGTACTATATATTATGTATTTGTCCTCTCGAAAGTATAGTTCATCCTACCGAAGTGTGAATCGTTCTACCAGGAGGGAAAACTTAAATAAAACACTGCTCCAGGGTTCTCCATACATCATGGTAATTCTCCATATATCTACGTATTCCTGTAATTATTTTCTTAATCATCATTTTTATAATAACTACAATGATCTTACAGAAAATATTTTATGTTTCTGTACAATTCTTGATACTTCTTGGTATTCCTGTATTCTGTATATTTTGGAACTACACAAGTATGCTTTTTCTCTCTTGGTTTATCCTCAATTTTTATAGAACATACTTTATAGATGAGTGGTTTTTCGAACGATTAACAATTCACAGAAACAAAATTTTTCCTCTTTGAGACTATTAACACAACACATAGTTGACATTATTTTTTAACTTCAAGAACCTATATAGATCTGATTTTTTCCCTTTCATGAAACATCATGACAGATTACAATAAACGTAACATTTCTTTTAATTGAAAAAGTCCCGTAATGGATTTTGCAAGATCTATTAGTTTCTTCATTTTTTTATAATAAAAAGTTGGAAATCTTCTTGCTGGCTTATATATCTAACGTAGAAAAAAACAAGCGAGAATACAATTCATCCGAAGAAAAAGCAACAAAAATACTAGTACCGTTGCTTTGATACATCGAAATTGTAATAAGGCGTCTGAGTCTCTACGAATAAGATATTCCAACTTTAGTGAAAGAATAAGAAAAATAATGCTGTATTATATGCATGTCAACATAATCGATAGTTTTTATTTTATATCGTATCACAATTGAACGACGAAGTTTATCCATCATTACCACGTTCTGTTGGACGAATCAAACGTAAAACAAAATTGATAATTATCGCAATCATAGCAATAAATAAGAAAATCTAAATAAAAAAAATACTTTTTCTTACAATCAGAAAATTTCGAATAAAATAAAGTCTTACTGCAGTTATAGCAGCAGCAGCTGTATTCCGCACTGAACTCATACGTGCTATTGGAGAATCATTCATTTTTTTTCCCCATGCTGCTGCGCAACATCTATTCATTAGAAAGAAAACAAACATATATAATAAACTATTTCAAATAATAATCGTCATACCCAAGAATAAGAAATATAGCAGCAACTACAAACATTATAATTGTGAACTAAATTTAAAAAAAAGAGTATTATTTTTGTAATTTATTATTATTTTTTTCTTACTTACAATTGAATCAAATTGTACTGGTAAACGTTTAATAAGACCAGTCATTTGAAGAATAGTATCAACAAGAATAAGAAAAAGTCCAGCCGATGCAAAAACAAGAACTGCATTTCGGGTATGAAAAGCACTAACTTTAGCTTTGGAAAAATTAGGTAAGCTATCTGCTAAACGTGCATCACCAGAACTAGCTAGACCAGCACTAATCAATGCACCAACAAGTGCAACCTGTAAGATTCACATAGAAATTATTTGTTCAATACAAAACAAATATTTACAATTGTGATAACATTTAATATTCCATAAATTGAATTGAAAAAACGAACACTTCTCTCATATTTTTGATTTAGTGCATTTTTAAATTTATTTGATATATTTGGTGAAGATGATTCATAAGGTGTTTGCGCAGCAGCCGATACCGAACGATCAGTTTCTACTGAATATCCTACATCAGCAGTATTCATTTTAGATAATATAGATCAATTAATCTACAAATAAGAAAAAAATTTCATGTTTACCTATTAAAATGGTTCATTGAAATATATATTTTTAAGAAAACCACACGTAACTCATACACATCTATCTAATTTACTAAGAGACATGACATTATTTTTACTGTTATTAATATAATATGTATCGATAATAATTTTTATGAGGGAACATATCTAATAGTCGAACGCTGCTCAACTTCATATTATGATTATAAGTACGTCTCAACAAGACTAAAAAATTCAGGCTCATGTTCAATTGACGAAAAGTTATGAAAATTCTAATGAAATTTTTATTGAAAGCAATGAATTTTCGAAAAATTCAAAAAAAAGAGTTTTAAATTGAAATTTCGTCTATAGACACATTTAGTAACCATTAAATAGTCGTGAAAGTTTCAACGAAAACAAACATGTCTTTCTCGAGATATTCAATTTCCAAAATAAAACCACAGTTTACCATTAGAGGACAAAGTCATACGGTCTACTTGGTAATTGAATATTTCGATTTAAACGCATTTACTTTTGTTGAAACATTCACAACTATCTAATGACTATTAAAGGTACTTCAAAACAAAATTTCAGTTCGAAATTCTTTGCTTTGGATTTTTCGGAAGTCCTTTGTTCCTAATAAAAATTCCGTTAAAACATTCATAATCCTTCACCAGTACGCCATAAGCCCTAGTTTCTTTATCTCACCGAGCCCTACTCGTACTCATAATATAAATTCGAACGGTGTTCGATAGTTGGATAGGTTCCTTCGGTAGATTACCATTGAATTATAAGACACTGTCTATCACATTCGTCTACAATAACACATGCTTTGTTTTGCACTTTTTCCTTCTTTCTATTTTTTCATATTATAGATGAAATCAACCATGATATTATACTATGCTTATGTGTATAAAAATATTTTTTTAGAACACAAAAAAAAAGCGGTTTATCTTCTGAAACGAAGGCCTTTATTTATTACTTGCATGTTTTTTTCGTCCACCATCGAACAGTATAGAAACAAAAAACAAATCAATCTTCGTTCGATTTGCTCGTGTAGGTTGTATATAGACATATTTATTGATGCTGTCGACCGTCGTGTTTCGCTTCGTTGATTATATACGTGTTGCATCGAATAAATATAATAGTGAGCAATAAAAATTTCACGAGCATATTGATATGTCCAATAAAAATGAGAAAGGAAATAATTAAAATTACAATTATGACATTGATAAAAAAAATAGAACTTGGTGTTCTAAATTTATTCAAAAGAGCAAATCATACTCTAACGAAAAAAACAACATATGATGCAGTTTATATATTGAAATAAATTTGTTGTTACGAAAACGAAAAAAAAATTAGCATTCATAAGCATTTTTTTTCTCCATTCAATGAATAATTTTATATTCTTTTCTGATGAGAAATACATATTTAGGAAGTCAATGTAATAAAGCAACATGAATGTTTACTCAATGAGAGAAAACAATAAAACAATTCTTTTTATTTGATGATGATCATCAGCTGTTGATGAGCTAATTCTTAAAACTTTGTTACGTTATATGTGTCGATGTGAAATACATTTATCCTAGGTACTTCAACAGAAAAATTTATCATTCGGCGTTGACTTTTCTCGATTGTTCAGATATAAGTCGTTCGTTGGCAAATATTCTACACAATACAGCAGCAAAAGTAGTTGTCCACTACTACATGACACAATAAAAACAAAAAAAAATTATAGTTTCCATCCTTTCGAAGTTACTCATTTTCTTGAAAATTCTATTGTCATCAAACAATTATCATGGATTCATAATTCTGTGAATCATATAAATAGAAGACAAGTAATAAAAAATATTCGAATGAGAAAATCTATTTGTTATTTGATTTCTACTGTTGCATACCAGTGAGAGAATAGAAACAGAAATACTTTTCTTAATTGAATTATTTTCTAATATATTAACTATTATCTGATTAAGTAAATAATTTTATATTTATGAAAATCATGAATTACTAAGTTCCAATCATGTGTTTTTCTTTTAAATTATATATTTATGTCAAGCTAAGTAGTTGTTCTTTCTTTTTTTGTAATTATTAAGGAATTACACATATCTTTGAAAGTATCTGTATTTCTATCAAATATGATTATCTTGAAAATGAAAAGATGTTGCTTGTATGAAAAGAAATAGATTTGACCTCGGTTGTCATATTGTATGTCAATCGATTTAATAAAATACTGCAATCTTTAGACACCAGCCGACTTTATCAGAAAAAGAGATATTTCTTCTAACGTAAGTAAATGACAATGAATTAGAAATACTCCATTCTTTTGGACTACTTCTGATTCTCCGCAAGAATACAATCGATCGGGCTCAAATTTTTAGTACAGCTGGGTAATCGAAAATGATGGGATCTATGTCCGAAGAAAATATTTTAAAAGCACGTCTTCATGAGTTTTTGAAAGGATTCTCAAAAACCATCGGGCCTATTTATGGCCTCGGTTTTACTTTGTCCCATTAGGCTGAAATTTTTCCTGGAAGTACCTGGGAGCAAGTCTCAAAGATGTTTTTAAGTTTTTTGAAAAATATCAATTCCTTGATTTTCAATTAGGAAAATACGCGAAGTACTAACTGGAAGAACAGAAAATTTCAGCCTCATCGAACAAAGTAAAACTGAGATCATAAATAGGCCTGATAGGTTTTGAAGATTCTTGTAAAAACACCTAAAGATCTGCTTTTAAAATTTTTTCTTTGAACATTGGTCCATTTTTTTGTAATGATCTAACTGTAGTAAAAATTTGAGTCCCAATGATTGTACTCTCGAGAAGAAACAGAAGTGGCCTAAAAGGACTTGTATAAAAGAAAAAACTAAACATATTCTCCTAATATAACAAACATCTAATATTAGTATACTATTTATAATTTCGACATTGAAATTCTGTTGATATACATCGTCATTATGCGCATATACTTGCCTTATCAAATTCATTTTCATAATTATTAACTAAATAAGCAAAAAACTTTCCAAAGTATATCGTTGATTTGATGAACCATACAAATGTTGATTATATCACAAATCAACTGATGAAAGAAACAATTACTCATCTTAAATTTGACAACAAAGTATTATAGTAGTTTAGAACTATTTTATTAAACTAATCAATTTCTTCAGGTTCTGAAATCTTTATGAACATAAAAGATGAGAAGTCACATGCAGTAACTGATGATTGTCGAAAAACAAGGCACGACGAATCGAACATAAATATTAATAGTCTAACTGATGGAAAATGATGAACTTCATGATTATACGAAGAAGATCAAGATAAATAAAAACGAATAAACTGAAAGTAACAGTCTGATCATAATATTAATATTTGAACAAGTTGTTCAGATATCATTAATTCGATAAAACCTCAAATGATTTACTTATGTTACATATATAACAGTTTGAATAGTAGCAGTACCACAGTACTATTCTTCCATCCTTAACTTTAGAGTCTCAAATACATTCCATTTTTCAATTAATCGTTTTCATATTTATTCGATCCGGTTTCTAGTCTATTAGTGGTATTGATCTAGAAACTAGTTATTCTCCTGTCTGAAAACATCTCTCATTGTGCAGAAGAAAGTGAATGCAACTAATATACTTTGGGTATAGTGAAAGAAGTGACATTGACACTTTAATATCGTATGGTAAGCTTGAAGAAGTTTTCTCTTGTTTATGTGTTGATAGAGCAAACAATAACCTACTTTTCACTTAGCTACCTGATCATCCTTCAACTATGGTTGTATTAATAAAACGTCGACAAAGAATTGTTTATTAGAAAAATCGGATCATTACATTTGTTCAGCTGAAAAAAGGAGATCAGTGCTTTTCAAATAGCCTTTTGAATAGAAACCAAATGAAGTAGTGCGCTTTTCACGATTAGAAAGAAGAAATGAAGCTGCATCGAACTGGATAATCCGACGTTCTCTGGTATGGCTTCTCAAGCTTCTTATTCGATTTCCTAAGTGCTGAGAGAATCATTCTTTTATTAGAAAAAAAAAGTAGAAAAGATTTTTTCCGCAGAAATTCGAAGAAAACCAACCTAGAATGTCTATTAGAACATCTAGACTTGCTAACAAACAACTCTATCTCGATTTTTTATTAACAGGATAACAGATGAATAGTGACAAAATAGCTGAGAAAAGTAGAACATTTTTTACTCTATCATTACATAAATGAAAGAAAACTTCTTTCAGCTTACTGTATGGTATTAAAGTGTCATTGTTACTACTTTTCGTATACTTTAAGTGTTATAAGACTGCAGATACAATGTATTTTAATAAAATCTGTTTTAATCAACTTATCAAGAAATTGCAATAATGATCATTTTTTGTCGATCTTTTTTCTAAAGTATCAAAACTATTTCGATTTTGATCAGATATATGGAAGTTTTGAAAATGTAAAAGAAACAATTGATGTTTATGTTTTAAATGTTTATTTGAAAATAAAAAGTCAATAAAGTTGTTTTCAATCAAAGTTTGCCGAGTTTAGTAAATGTTTTTACGAGAAAATTGGATAACTTAGATATCAAGCCAATGAATGAGCCAATTAAAAGTAACTCGATTACTTTTACAATAGTGATTGATTGAGATAAAATTGTAGATGCATTTTTAAAGCATATCCATATTTCATGTGATGCATCTTTCATGTCTTGCCGTAAAGTATTAACAACATTCAACATAGTCACGCCTACATCACTGTGTCTATAAATAGATCCATACGAGAATAAACAAATGAAGATAATAATGATTATTTCCTTTAAATGTTCAAATATGTATATATCCCAGGTCCAATAAAACGGCGTCGTAAACGGCCTGAAACGGCTATAAAACGGCGATTAACGATGTAAAACGTCGATAAACGGCACCGTAATCCGTCATACCAGATTACAGAAGCAAAACCGGAAAAAAACCACCGCCGTTTTCTAGCGATAGACGGTGGTCGTAATACGGTATGACGGATTACGGCGAAATAAGGCCAAAATTATTGCAGTAATTCGCCGTTTTATAGTCGTTTCAGGCCGGATACGACGCCGTTTCTGACGGCCGGAATGATCCACCTGGGTAACAGCAACAGCAAATTTATCAATAAGATAATTAAAGCCAGTTGATCTGTGTATAATCGTACATGTATTTAATTCATACCATAGCGTTAAATTTCTTGAAGATAACGAAGTTATTTTTTCACACGAATACACCATATATGCCCATTGAATGAAACACATAATTAAAAATAAGATAAAAATGAAATATACATTCATTGAAAAACTTCTTCGATTCGATAAGCAAAATATGAATCAAGTGGTGAAGATAATAAGAAGTGTTTTCTAAGGTGAATTGGTATAAAATGTGATAGCGATCAAATATACTAGTAAAAATAAAACTGAATTAACCATTTGAATACAAACGGATCAATCACGTTACTTAATTCAGTTTTTTTTTCTAATGTGTTTAGCTTTTTTAGATTTTCATTCATCATCAGTTATCAAAATGAAGAGAGAGAGTGAGAAAAAAAACATGATTTTTAGTTTTTTCTAGTAGTTCTATGAAGTCAAATAAATAATCAGGTATGGAAGATGTCGCACCCATCTATTCAGACTTTTTCTATACTCGATTGATAGAATTGTTTGACATGATTAACAAAGTCAGTGTATTGTTTTTTCTTCGATTCCTCTTTCTTCTTTGCAGTAAACGATAATCCATAGATAATCTCTAATGGTTTTTCGTTGCCTGGTAAGTTTTCGGTGTAGTTGATGAATAATGGAAGGCCGTTTTTTTTTCAATGAGTCCTTTTCATATATCTACTAATTGAGAAAATTGTTCTTCGGACGCAATGAGTTCAATAAATTCAAATGCTTTGAGTTGAACATGCTCGTTTTGTCTATCGTTGACTAACTGTCGTGATATATCAAGCAGTTTATTTGAAGATTGTTTATCGTTCATGTATGCCACTGAGCCACTGTAGCTCCGTACAAGCAATTTCGGGTACTTCTTCAGAATACATATACCCCTTCACCCTCACTCATTGTTGTGCCAGCCAATATGTGTATAGGTTGTGTATGTTGTGAAGAACAACTCAATTTTCTATGTAAATGGCAGAATTAGAAAGAAAATTACATGGAGTGCCATAATTAGGAACATACTAAAATTTAGTCAGTTTTGAGCATTCTTGATTTCATGTTTTTCTCGAACGTTTAGTTAATCATTTTTTAATTGATTTTATATGATTTGATAGAGAAATGTTTGCTC